GCAGACACTGTGGTTCGCTTTTCAATCCCAGAGCCCAAATCCAGAGGACCAGAGTCCTGTCCAAGTCACTAGACTTCCCTGGAGCTCCATCTCCTCACCTGCAAATGCAGGTGGTCGTCATGGCTGCAGCAGGAACTCCATCTGAGATTAAGTGGGGTGATAAGCATCAAGCCACCAAAGACACAAATTACTGCTCAGATGAGTCACACCCTCACTGGGCAATAGCCACAGAGGCCAAGCGTTGCCGACAGAGCATGATCGCCACTGAAGCGCCCCCACCCCCCCAAGCTGAGAGAGGACTTACTAGCCCCATTTAAGCAGGGTGACAGCCAGGCTCAGAGAGGTTAAGAGACTCGGCAAAGGCCTCCCAGGGCAAATGGTAGGGCCAGGCTGTGAACCCAATGGTCTTTGACCCCCAAACCTTTGGGATACATCTCTGGGAGACAGTTCTCCAGAGGGGGGCAGCTCACCAGCAAGGTTCAGAGAATCGACTGGTGCATCTGGGATTCCCCCAGTGAGTGGGTGATGCGGGGGTGGAGAAAAATGCATGTCGGGGTTCCCAGCCCAAAGATCCGCTCTGAACACACCCGGTCACCCCTCTACACAGCAATGGTTCCTTAATATTCTAATCGTGTGTTGAGCTTCTCTGGTCTCATCGCGGTTCTATGCAGATTTCTTTGGTCTTGAAGACTGTGAGGGGCCCTAAAGGACGCCCAAGACATTCTGGTGGCACCATGATGAAGCGCTCCGCTGCTAATCACAAGGCTGGGCCCAGCCCAAGCACTAGCTCCACAGGAGAAAGACCTGAAAACTCACCCCCATGAGGCTAGGCCCATATGCCTCTGGGCCTCCCTTCCCATAAAGATGACAGCCTAGAAACCCCTGTGAAGCAGCTCTGCTCGGCCCGTGGGCCCCGTGAGCTGGCACAGGCTCCACTCCACAGCCCTGTAACGGCAGTCCGGAGCCTGCGCTTCCACCAGCCAGACCACCCCAACTGACTGACGGGCTCTGAGACGCGGAGGTCTCTGGTTCCTCCCTCTGGAAAGCAGGCATGGTCGTGCCTCCAGGGCAGTCATGAGAATTCAAGCCGGAGGGGATCACTTCGATGAAGACCCCGCTCGTTGTGGGCGGGGAGAGGGTGGTGGGGACTGGCTGTCCCTGTGGGTGGGTGGAGAACACAGCCGCCC